AGTTAGGCTCAGGTGCGTGAGTGTAATTTGATAGATAGTCCTATGTCATATTTGAAAGTGAATAGTTGAAATGATACACGTCTTAGACGTGGTAAGGTGCCAGATTGCATCAGGGATTGTAATAATGGGACAAATCTGCAGCCTTTATTTCTGTCCTCTTGACTGTAGATTGGTAGGCATTTCAAATGAACCTGTGAACGACCATTACTTTAACATCATTCCTTGTTGAAAAGCATATCCCTTTTTAATTTTAATTCCTGCCATTGTTTTGGGCTGTTTGAGTACCAACCAGTTGTTGTCAAATTCTTTACTCTCCTTATGAAAATAAAATGTAGTGAAGATGTCCTTGCAGTCGTATTTGAAAAAAATGGCTATAATTAAATAAAGCTTTTGATGATTTAATCTGTTTATGCCAGATGAGTATGGGTGAGACATGGCAGAAATGGGAAATGCTTTATGGTAGTTTTCTGAAGATGCAGAATACAAACCAACCCTGAGAATGCGATAGATAATTTTTAGTTGCAATTTTAGTGAATGCACCATGTGGGAAAACTCCCAGTTGGTGGGAGTGGTACCTATGAACGTACTACGGTCCTGTATCTGACAAAGTAGTGGAAAATTTCACTTACAAAACATAATATATTGACTTTAAAAACAAAACAAAACTGTTGTGGGGTAGGCCTGTCCCGCATTCAGGCCAGGGTGATATAGTGGCTCTGAAGACTTTTGGCATGCTGAGAGCCCAGAAGTGGTGCCTGAGCTTTGGCTTGCCTTGCAGCTGTGTGGCAGAGTTCTCTTTGACCTCAGGCAGTTCTGAAAATCAGCAGCTACCTGGCAAGAAGAGCATGCCCAATTTCTGACCAGGCATTATGCATCTATTAGCTAACCAGGATAGATGCATAGCTGCAGAGGAGCTGAAGCTCAGGTGTCCTGACTCTTAACTGAAGTTCTTGGGTAGATAACACAAGCAAGATGTAATGGTGGTGTTGCAAAGGGTGATATGTGGACATTTAAAGAAATGGCATCGTGGGAGAGTAGGATGTAGAAGCTCTGCTGAATTAAGATTTCATGTCTTTTTTTACAGTCTTTCAGATAATCTTGTATGAAAGCAGAGCATTTCAAAGAGCATTTTGTGTCTCTTGTTGCTTGGAGAACATTTTAGTCATTTAAATTAATATTTACCACTTTAGACAATACGATAACTTCAGTAATGCATAAGCTTTTGTATATTTTTGTGTACACATATACGCATATAGACAAACACACACAAACAGGGACGAAAAATTGTAACTCCTTGATACTGAGCTTTGTGTATCAATTTAGTCTGTGTACTGTAGTAAATGTATTCTAAAGTTTAGGCAGGGAGGTGATGAGCATGTGTAACCTTAAAGCCTTCAGGGTAGTATGATGCACTTAGGTCAGGAGAGGTGATTTTACTGAAGCTGCAGAGTATAGAGGGCTACATGTGAGGCTCAGAACTTAACTCCTAACATTGCTTTTTAAGTAAAAATTGAAAAAAGTGAATTTGAGGTAGTAGGCAGTGGGGTGCTGAATGAAGCTCCTCAGCACCTTTTTACTGTCTTTTTGATTACAGGAGAACAAATAAATGCCATAATACTGATATATGAAAATAAATGTCTATAGTTTGTCAGTCTTTTTAACAAACAGGTAGTATGTAGTGTTTAATGCCTGCTAACATTTGCTTTAACTCTATCACTGTCAGTATTCAAGGCTTATACTGGCATAAGTTTTTAAATGAATGCTTTAAAATTAAAGTAGTACATTCCACAAATGTGCAAACTCTTTCCTTATTTCCTGAACTTATTCAGGCTAGGTTGGTACTTTTGACACAGTAGTTTCCAACTTCTCCACCTAAGTGCTCTCACAGGAACTGTATTTTGTGTTTGCTCCTTCATCAAGCAACTGGAAAGTAAATGTCCTATACCCAGAATGAAGGTGCAGTCGCCATGTGATGGATTTGGGCTCAGTCAGGTATAAACATGTGATTGGATGTTCACCTGCGGCTTGACTGAAAACCTAAGTCTTCTTAAAGATGTAGCTATATCCAGTTGTGTTGTAGGGATATGTGTTTATGGAGCGTGTGCTGGAGGTTCGTGCATAGCCAGTTGTATGGTGGTTGTCGCTCCAAGGAGAGGTAATGACAAGAATAGGAAATGTTTAGTCTGCCACATGTGCCCATGTGGTTCCTTGAGTCGAGGAGTATTGTGTGGATGCTTGTTCACGTGGGCCCAGTCTGTTAGGCTGGCTGCCCTTTATCTGAAGGGTCTTCTTGAGATACCTACTAAAGTTTGAATAGAAGTGTGTTGGATGTGCGTCTTTCATTGGGGGAGTTGGAATGAAAGAAATAGAGAAATTGCAGTGGATGAATGTAGTACTGGGGATTTCTGTGAGTTCTGAATGGCGAATGGCATGAAATTACAAGTTTCTGCTGCGTCTTTGCACAATGTGTGGAGACTTGACCTTGCAAGGTAGTGTCTGAAATATATGTTCTGGATATAATAGGTAAGAGGCTATGTAGCGGGCCAGTGGACTGGAGGATGACGTGGATTTTGCATAACCTGTTTGTAAGGATTTATATAACGTGCTAGAAATAAGCTTTACGTTTTCATGTACAGCCTTTATCCTTGACATGCATATACATTCTGATGTATTCGGTTGCATTCTAACATAGTTTTTTCTATTCTTTCTCATTTGGCATACAGAATGAGTTGAACAGTGCTTATTTAACAAGCAGCTATATACACACAGGTTATTGTTATCATTTTAAAACTTTTTGGTGATTGATTTATGCCATAGCTGTGTTTACTTTACAAGCTCCAGCCTGAATAGACTGCTTAGGCCTGTTGGCCATCAATGTAATGGCTGCATGGTTGACAAAACATTAGTGAAAAGTCTTGAGAGAGAAGAATACATTGATATCCCCTTTTACAGATGAAAGTCGTGACGCAGGCAGGTACAAAATTCCTCATGGTTTATAGAAGAATATACACAAAGCTCAAGTTTCGCTGACCAGTGGAGGCAGGTGCTGGGAGTGACAGTAAGTCTAATAATACCATTTCAAGTTAAGCAGAGACAAAATGAAGAATATATGGATGTCACTTCTCTGGGAATAATCTGGTTAGTGTCATGCAGAAAATTTGTAGCAGGTGAAGGAATGGTATCCCATTAACCAACAAATGTTTAGTGGCCTTGGCTTCCAAGGATCACGTCCTTCCAGCTCAAGATTGGTCCATCACAATGAGCAAGAAATCAAGCGAAGGTGGCAGTAGGACTGCATGAATTAGCAAGGAGGCCCTGGCAAAGCTCAAGTGTAAAAAGGGAACATACAAGAGGTGAAAGCAGGGACAGGTGGCTGGAGAGGAGTATAGAGGGATGGGGTTAGCTAGCAAAGCCAAAGCCCACCTGGGGTTTAATCTGGTGAGGAGCTTGTAGAAGCCCTTCTTGTTCTCCTTCAGATTTAACAGCAGGAAGAAGATGACTATGGGAAATGTGGGCCTGTGTGCTGAATGGGTCAGGGAACCTGGAGACAAAGGACACAGAAGAGGACGCAGTACATAGTGCCTTCTCCCCTTTGGTCTCTACTGATAAGATCAGTCTTCAGGAACCATGGGTTCCTGATACCAGTTGAAAAGTCTGAAGCAAGAAAGACGTACCTCAGTGGAGGAGGGCCAGGTTAGGGAACACTTAAACAAACTGGGAATACACAAGTCCATGGGATCCGATCAGATGCATTCATGAGTGCAGAGAGAGCTGGCAAGTCTCACTGTTACCTTTGCAAGGTCATGATGTCAGGGTGGGGGGGGTCCTGAGGACTGGAAGACTATAATCAATCTCACTGTAGGGTAGCTTACATGAATTTTCTGTGTTTGCTTAGTTTTAATTGTGACACTAATTTTCTGTGAGTATTTCTCAGAACAGGTGATTTGTGCAAATGAATTAGTCATTTTGATTTAAGATAGCTATACTAGACACATGCTTTTTGTATTTAATTTCATTGTTCGGACATCTTCTTGGTGAACTGTTTTTCTACCATTGAGGTTAATGGTTAAATTTTCAAAGTTTTTATACGAAATTTACCTGTTCATGTGTTCTTTTGCAAAGTCTAAATTGTTATACTACTACAGGGGTGTGTGTGTATAACACTAGTTTAAAAGAAGCACAAAGCGGAAAGTGTGTTATGTGTATATTGGGCAGGTGTGCAGGAAAATAGGTTAAGTAGTATGGAATGAATTGTATAAAGGTTATAGTAAATGTCCCTTTAAATATTTGACTTCCCTTTAAATTCGGCAATGACCAATACTAAATTTTACATGCAAAACTCGAAACTGTTGAATGATCTGTGTACAGTATAGATATGTTCTGAGTTTTTAATGCTTATTTATCAGATAACTATATTTTTCATTACATGTTGCCTAGAATTACTGGTATTACTGGTATATTCTTGAACTTCTTGCCTTTTTCTTATGTTAGTGTTAATATATTTCTCTTGGTGTCTTCATTTTTACATATTTATTTACCTCACTACTGGAAGTAATTTCTGCAACTTTGCAGATTTTTAACTCAAGATCACTCAGCTGGGAGAGATGGACGAGATTGACCTTTTTTTTGTTTGGGGGTTCCTCCCCCCTTCTTTTTTTTTTTTTTTTTTCTCTCTCTTCTTTTTGAATGATCACTTCTGGGTTCAAATGCATCAGCAGACAATAGTTCATTTTATATTGCCATGAAGCAGCACAAGCTATTTAAGTGGACTCAAGAATTCAGTAGATTTTACAGTTATTCCTTATCATAGCTTTACAAAGCATCTTGACTATATACTTTTTTGGTTTTTAAATGATCATTACTTGTGGGAAATGCAAATGCATTGAGTTCACATTCACAATAGATGTCTTTTTTTGTCATGAAGTGCCTTGACTCTTGTGTATGTGTGTATATAAATCTATTTATGTGGAAAACCATGCTGTGTTTTTACAGGCTATGAGAAGACAGATGATGTTTCAGAGAAAACTTCTCTAGCTGATCAAGAGGAACTGAGAACTATATTCATTAATCAGCCCCAGCTAACCAAATTCTGCAATAATCATGTCAGGTATTAACTGGTGATTTTTTTAATACGTATTTAATTTCAGGACATTGCATGTTGCATAGCAAAAATGAAGAAAAGATTCTGTTTATTCTACTTCTGCCATTTCCTCTGACCACCAGTTACAGTCTCAGACTCTGGAGGGGGGAACGAAGTGAAATGAGGAGAGCAGCAGAGCTGTTTCAATTACAAACCTGACCTTCTGAATTTTAAGTACAGGGTGGGGAAGGTAGGGATGCTTTACAGCTGCACCATCAGCATGTCCCTAGAGTATGGATTTGTTCTTCAGCTTTCAGTTCAGTTCATCTTTGAACCTATTTCTGGTAGCTAGATGCCAGTGCTGATGTACTTCACTTAAGCAAGGCATTGTTTGTGCTTTGGAAACTCTTGTCTTTTTCAGTCAGCCAGCTACAAAGATGCTGTGGTTGCTTATAAAACTAGTTTTGAATTTCAAGTTCAGGCTTTAGGACTCTGCTGATGGTTTATGTTGTGGGGTTTTTTGGTTTTGTTGAATTTTAAGTAATACACTGAATACTCGTAAGTAATGTATGTTTAGATCTGATAACATCCTCAGTTCTGTTGTTAAAATTCAAAGTAAATAATGACAAAGATATCCCTGTCCCAAGTAGGTGTGTTTTCTGAAGATACCTTTGACAATATGCAGAAACTTTATAAACATTGAGAATAATATGGTGAGGTTTTTCCATGGACTTAAAAAGCATTATAAAGTTTCTCATGTGTGTACACAACTTGTCTTTTCTGTCTTTGGCTTTGCTTCTTGACAGTGTTGGGCTTTCATTCCCCCTTTAAATTGACTTCTACGCAAAGTTGAAGTAAATACTACTAACTTAAAAAGGGGTTAAAATATTCTTACAAGTCCTTTGCTTGTAAGTTTTTGGTATGATTATTTTCACTGTTACTGTTTTAGGACCTTAGGTGGTAGCAGTCTGTTCTTAAACAAATGTAAGGCTGACGAAGAGCTGGGAGCTCAAACATTTTGTGGTGATGGCTTGGCAGAGATTATTACGCTGGGATAAGATGTATTCTGTTCTTCCAGCCTAGCAAAACTGCACTTAATATCCAATATTTATCAGTTTAAAATAAAAAAGTGAACTTTCCATTCAGTGAAGGGTATAGGACTTTACCTATTAATAGATTTTTATTATTTTAATGATTTCTTAAAGGCACCATTTCGATTCAGTTGATCTGTTGTTAGGTTTTTTGCATTGAATCGTGCACACTCATATCCAGCGCAGAAACTCCACAGCTCCTCAGTCCTGATTTAGCACCCTCCTCG